CATTATTATTATTATCATTATTATAAAAAGACATCGTTTGAATTCAGCAAAAACATTTTGTTCTTAATAAGGAAAAGAGGGAAATGCTGGTTGTAAAAATTCGATTATATTGGTCTTGTTATCAAGACAAATAGGGTTTTTTTCGAAATCCTATTTACAACAAAAGTCTCTTTTCCACCCTCAGATCTACCCCATAACACTTCACCACCACCCATTATGTTCCACCGCTCAGTCATCCTTCTCGCTGCCATTCTCTTCATCGTCATCGTCGTCGCTCTCGCTAACGACACGGAGAATGAAGGAAGCACGGGAGGAAGAACCAGAGGAGGCGGGAGCAGAGGAGGAAGCAGGGGAGGAAGCAGGGGGTCCACTAACTCCGTCACCAACAGACGTCAAAGATCGGCGAGAAACAGCCGCGGGTACCGGCGTAAATCCTCAACGGGCAGAAACTACTACGAGGTGAATCCGAGACCTTCAGCTCATCTTGACCGCAACCATCCCGGGTACAAGCAGGACTCCGGACACAACCATGGGCACTCTCACGGAAACTCAGGCCACCATACCCACAGCCATACACACGGCAACTATAAGGGTTTCAACCCGCTCCCAAATAACTTTAATCCTGGGAGAGGAGGACAGAATGGAAGGGGAAGCCGGCAGGATAGTAATAGGGAAGGTAGGAACTACAGGCCAGACAGAAACTACAGGGGGGATAACAACAACAACAACAGAAACTACAGGCCAGATAACAATAACAACAACAGAAACTACAGACCAGAAAGCAACAACAGAGAAACTAGGAACTACAGACCAGAAAGCAACAACAGAGAAACTAGGAACTACAGACCAGAAAACAACGTCAGGGGAGGTAGGAACTACAGACCAGAAAACAACAACAGAAACTACAGACCAGAAAGAAACTACAGGCCAGATAACAATAACAACAACAGAAACTACAGGCCAGAACGCAACAACAGAGAAACTAGGAACTACAGACCAGAAAGCAACAACAACAGGAACTACAGACCAGAAAGCAGCAACAGGGGAGGTAACAATTACAGGCGAGATAACAACTACAGGGGCGATAGGAACTACAGACCAGATAGCAACTACGGACCCAGGGGAGGCAACAGCAATAACAACAATCGCCGCGGTAACTTTGCGCCCCCTAAAGATGGAATCTACCCTCCTGGGCGGTATTTTTAATGCTGATCATCCAACGGTGTTTTTTATGTGTCTTGTACAAATAGAACGGGGGAAAAAAGATTAATAGAAACAATCTTTTCTTGTATTTTCACACTTTTGTTCTGCTTCTTTTATAAACAATGGGTAGATGATGATGATGATGATGATGATGATGATGATGATGATGATGATGATGATGATGATGATGATGATGATGATGATGATGATGATGATGAAGCATTTTACGATATACAGTGGAGTCTGCTGAAACCGAAATCGGCGGGTCGTCAGCTTAACCTGGTTTTCAATTTAGAGAGGTTGCTGAAAGAAAAGGGAATCTTTTCTTTCGGTTTATCGCTATTTTAGGATTAACTGTTTTCCTATAAAAATAACACAATTTTTAATCAAACACTGTTTTGAACGGCTTTGTCTAGTTTGAGAGTGTGCGAAATTTTAACACACCTTGTTTCTGAAACGATTTGGCAGGTCTGTGTGTGGTCTTTGCACTTTGAGAATTCTCTCCTGGGAACGTCATAAAAACGATAATTTTTTTCACATATACCAACTCCTCATCACCATCCCATTTAATTTCTTATGTCTGCATTAAGTTTGTTTCTAAATTTAAAACGACGTTTTCGTTGTCTCATATTTCTTGAACGTCCTGAACTGGGTGTGATGGACCAGAAGTTTTCTCCCCCTCAAATTTAAAAAAAAAACGTTGGTATAATGTGAAATCCACCCCTTAAGAAAATCTTAGTGAATTTGCGTTGAAGGCCAAGCCCCTAGCCTTTCCTGTAGGATCTGAGAAGAGAATAAATATTTCAAAAAAGTATTCAAATGTATAAGAAATCGCAGTGACATTTCGCCTGTTCCAATATCATACCGGAACACTTCGCAGCAACAGGAACTGCTAAAAAGAAGGATGGGGTCTTTAAAAAATAATCACTTACGGGCTCAGAAATTAACCCTGGCTGAAAGGACAGCGTGTTTGACTTCAAATATGATGACATTCCCTCAGCACACACGTGAATAGAGTTATAGCGGGCAGTTATGTAATGAAGGAAGGTGAAAGATGAAAGAACGTCAGCCTTACGCACGACCATACCTACTGCAGGCGCACAGGCTCTTTTGCTGTCTGGTAATTCCCAGGGTCACTAAGGAGTTTCGTTTGGTTTCTCTTTTGTGTGTATGTCTGTTTAATGCCCCCCCCCCCCTTTCCGTTGAAAAACAGCACATCGACACACATTAGATCATTCAGGAGGTGACTGCCGATTCTGCCTGTCATGGCCAACCCAGGCTGAGAGGCGCAAAAACGTCCCAGCAGAAAGATCAAACTTAATTCTTCTGTGAGCGACAGCGGAGCACCTAATGGCAACACCACATATCGTTACCTCAGAATTACTAAGTTCTATCTGACATTTTGGTTGTTTTGAGTTACTAAGACCACGGGGTCAGAAACCAGATGTTCTGTCTGCTCTATCAAAATCGTAAGATTATTTGGAGTCGTTACCTAGATATTCAAAGAATTCCATTCGAAAAATCTGGACATATTGAGAAACTCAATTTTTTGATTTTTTTTTAAATTTGGGGGGGGGGGGAACTTCATAAAACTTGGTACTGAGCTGATAGAACTTTGTAATTCTAGGCAGGGTATGCAGGTTCAGTATGGAGTGACTGGGGCCATTTTCAGTTCATAGACTACGCTTCTTTTTTTTTTAGGAAGGACGGTTTATAAATGTTAATATTTCACGCCCACATTGGGACAAGCAATCTATTAGATTGTTTACGAAGAATGCAGTCTTTCAGATACTCCATTTCATTTTTTTTAAACAGACACTCATGTACTAAAGAAACATTTTATCTCGTATGGGAATCAAACTCATATCGTTTGTGTATGTGTGTGTGAGGGGGGGGGGGGGGGTTGTGCCAAGCCAACAACCATTATCACTCGTACATTAGTAATGAAGTCCGAAAGTCTAAACGAAAAAAAAATGGCTGGAAAAAGTCAAAAGGCATCAGAGAACTAAAATATTATATAAGTATGAACATTACAGATGGGACAGAGTACCAAAAATCTCTGAACATAAAAAATAATGTTTAGAAAAAACTTTAGACCTATAGATAGGATAGAGGGTCAAATAACACAGAAAATACGGATATTGAAAAATGTCAAAGAACATTCAACGATACCACATGTGACAGAGAACCAAAAAACTCTGAACATCGGTGATTCAGCAAATTAAACCGCTGATCATTTAAAATGTTTAGTTGGTTTTGACTCTTACTTTTTTTCTTTGTCAGTTACAGGTGTGAGGCTCTCTTTATAATATTATATATAGATCTATATATTAATTTTTACGTCAAAAGTTTGTGGGGGGGGGGGGTTTGTTGTTTTTTATTTATTTATATTTTTTGGGAGGGGGTTCTGTTATTGTTGCTGTTGTTGTCGTCGTCACTTTCGTCGTCGTCGTTGCCGTTATTGTCATTGTTGTTGTTGTTGTTTCAATTTAACCCAGATATGACGAGTAATCATGGTAACAAAAATAAACGAATGTTGGAGCCGATAACGTAAGGCAACCATTAACACGCGATGTTTTTGACAGACTAACATAAACCTTAACATTCTAATAGATCTTATCTCCAACACGAATACAATAATATTGATACTCTATGTTTGTATGTTTGTGTGTGTGTGTGTGTGTGTGTGTGTGTGTGTGTGTGTGCGCGCGCGCGTGCGTGTGCGCGTGTCTCTGTGTTTGTGTAGGTGTGTCATTTCTTTGCTCGTATTAGCAGTCATTTTTCTCTGTTATTGTTTTGTACACACAAACAGTATGTGTACACGGGGTAAGGTGCTACCGTATAGAAACTATCTTCGATGCTCCCACATAATATCTGCTCTCGACCAATAAGACAATAAACCTCTCATAGATTTTCTCTCAGCTACTAACACAATACTACTCCCATGGATCATAGATCTGCCACTGTAACTCTAACACATCTTCCCTCCACCATTAACACAATAATTTTCCCATAGATCTAGCACTCTAATTATAGGTCTTCCCTCCACCCCTTACACAAGAATGCTCCAACACCTTTTTACTCCCTCCTTGTACTTTACCCCCAGCCCCTCTCTCAAACTCGGCCGTGCTATTACAATCAGCTGAGTTGATAAAGTTGCATATTCACAAAAATAAAGCACTATAAAATTCTGACTCACCCCACAACTGTCCCAACTCGTACGTCACTCTTCCCTGCCCCCCCCCCCCCCCCTTGCTACTGAGTGGTTGTTTTCCAGGTGGGTCAGTAGATTTACAGTTTCTTCAGTCAAACATTTGAGAAATGGGTCCTCAGAGAGAGAGAGAGAGAGAGAGAGAGAGAGAGAGAGAGAGAGAGAGAGAGAGAGAGAGAGAGAGAGAGAGAGAGAGAGAGAGAGAGAGACCTTCATGTGTTGTTATACACATATATTATAACATTAAAGACTCTGCACTCTGACGTGATTCCGGTTGACTGTGGAGTCCACCACTTGATTCTATTTCGAATCAAATTAGTAAAGGGAAAAGAGTGAAAACGTGCGTGTGCACTTAACTATAGCGAACTTGTGTTATGCCCTTCATTTGCGTGCCCATGGCGTGTACCATAGCTGCGAAACTTTTTATAGAGAGCAAAATGCGCCGCAGCTATGACAGTGTCTAGTCTAGGAGAAACTAATAATCCGAGTCTATGTGTATATAGCAAAAACAGTGGTAGAAATATTTAATGACTATCTCCATCTGAGCCTACCTTCATCATAATGAAACAAGAGACTTCTTGGTAAACGCTTTGAGACCTGCCCACCCCCTTCCCGGTGCTTTTTCGGACAATATCTGAAGTTAGACGCCCCTGCCAAAGTGCTATGATAGCTCAGTGGGTATTTTTCTGAACTACAGCACGGGTGATCCTGGTTCGAATCTCAAACAGCGTGTCCATATACTTGTATTTCGTTGTTTGGAGAGTTTTCAGAGTCTTCCATTCACTTGAATCTGCCCAAAGATTGACGATAAATTCGGAGATACTCTCCCTCTGTCTTAAAAAGGGAGTTGAACCCACAACATACCAGATTCACTCCCAATGAGGCATCTGTTCGGTGTGAAGAAGAGTGAATATAGAGCACGCTAATTGGTTAGAAGACACTCACTCCCATGACTACTCTAAACACGCAAAGACAAAGAGTTAAAAGAAAAAGAAGCTCTTTATCACCGTTTGCACCTGCTGCTTTCTGATTGCACCACGTTGGCCTGTTCCTCGTGAAAAAAGGGTTCAGGTGTGAGTAAGTTCTAGCTAAGTGGCTGAAACAATATTGTGTCAAGCATGTGTCGGCCACACGGCGTCCATGTGAGTGGTCTCTATGGTGTTTCTTTGAGCAGGACACAATATAGCGCTAGTTCAAAAAGAAAACGCTGTAGTTAAATGGCGACCAGCTATGGTGTGCGGATTGTCAACGTTGGTTTCTTTTTTTTCTCTCTTTATGTATGCGTTTTTAATGAACCCTAACGACACACTTTAGATCTTTGAGGAAGCGGGCTTCAACCCAGCACGCCAGATCCAACCTGGGCTGAGAGGGATGTAATATCACAGCAGACAGACCGGGACACTTGATAAAATCCCCCCCCCCCCCCAAGGTACATATAATAATACATATAATAAGATATCGAACTCGGGTCTCCTGTGTGTGACGGTGAAGCGCCTGACCACTACAGGGAAGATTTCGGAAGAAGAAATCCAGTGGGGGAGGGGGGGGGGTGATCAACCATAAGTTATCAAAAATAATGTTGTAGAATAAATAGGTAATGTCTTCTTTTTTTTTTCGCACTTCAACCTTTTCAGTCCTTCTCCAGTGCGATGCTTGCTTTGGAGGCAGACGGCGCTTCCAGGATTTCTCTGATCAAACAGCAGTGAAACTCCACACGTCCCTACGCCCAACACCCATCACGTACAGAGTGTGAAGAAGTCTTAGTCTTCACGTGATTCAGACTAAAACAGTGACACAACTACTGAGAAAGTACCCCGACTTAAATCCACTTTAGCCAGATTCAAACAGGGGACTTTTCACATTTAAGACTTACTCTCACGACTATAGTATGTGTACGAGGACAAAGAACATTTACTCTGTGACCCCCCCCCCCCCCCCAATCCTCCCTTATCACTTTTTATTTATACAAAAAAGTCCAGGTGTACCCACTAGCTTCCTGGTGTTGATAAGTTTGAGGATTGCGACAGTTGTGAACAAATACAAGTCCATCTTCTTATGGAAATGAACTCCCTGCTCTCGGTGCAAACGGGATTAGACGAGATTAACTTTTCGCTACGCTGTACTTCAATCGCTTCCCGCTGTGGATCTACCGTCGTCAGTACACAGGGCTCAGAGCTGGCCTCTGTCATAGCCTGGGGGTGTCGTGGCCTCTGTCGTGGCCTCTGTCGTGGCCTGGTGTCGTGGCCTCGTATCGTGGCCTGGTGTCGTGGCCTGGTGTCGTGGCCTGGCCTGGTGTCATGGCCTGGTGTCGTGGCCTGGTGTCGTGGCCTGGTGTCGTAGCCTGGCCTGGTGTCGTGGCCAGGTGTCGTGGCCTGGTGTCGTGGCCAGGTGCCGTGGCCTGGTGTCGTGGCCTGGTGTCGCGGCCTGGTGTCGTGGCCTGGTGTCGTGGCCTGGCCTGGTGTCGCGGCCTGGTGTCGTGCCCTGGTGTCGTGGCCAGGTGTCGCTTTTCGCTGTCTCAACCAGAACACTTTTTGGCAAGCTGTTCTTCTGATCTAAGCCAAGCCAGTTATACGTATATCAAATACTCACAAGATATTAAGGTTTTCAATACAAGCTTTTTGTATGGAATGCAGTCGAAATTGTCCAAGACAGCCGTTCATTGTTGGGGAGAAAAGTGATTGTCTTTCTTTCTCTCTTTTATTCCCTCTCTTTCTCTCCACATTGACATTCAAAAGACGAAGGGGTTGGGGGG